CTCCTTCTTTATAGGCAGTAACAATATACCCAAAACTGTCGTGATGTCCTTGATGTAGTATGGGTACCGGCTAAAAATAAATAAACGTTAATTATACTAACCATGTAAGTTCTCCTAATAAAAATGAATGCAATAAATGGATACGTCTTACTTTTCTGTACCTGATTGAACTTATGAAGGCAGACAAAGCCATGCAGTATGTAATGAGGAATATTTGGCAGTACAGCAGCATACACCTACTCGACCTATCTTGTTATTGAATCCTAAAAATTCTGTTTAGATAGCAGGAATCAAACACACTGAGTCATTTTCTTATCCAACACTGTTGTCCTATTAGAGCGCTCTGAACCACTAGTTTTGCTGATCTAATCTACACATGGCACAAGTTACATTAATGTAAGAAGAAAAATACAAGACTTTGTAAAGAGGCTTGGTAAAGAGGCTTGGTAAAGGAGCAAGGACAAGAGCCTGTTATAGACATTTTTGATACTTTTCTATGAAAAAAAACTATACTTACTTCCCATGTAACAATTAATGAACCACGTTTGTTTGTAATGGATGTTATATTGGTAGGATTGGATAATGGCAGACCTGGTGGTGTTGCACATAGTACATTCTGGTCAATAATCATACTTAAACCAACACGATTTCTGGCCTGAACACCAAACATATACTTCAATCCTGGATACAGTTTTATTGTTGTACCAAGAGTGTTTGGAGAGACTTCTTTTGTGTACCATTTATCCGAATCTGCCTGTACTCGATATTTTACCAAGTACTGGTCTACAGGATAGCCATTACTGTTTCTTGGAGATTGCCAAACTATTTTGGCCTCTGAGTAAGAACAACTGTCCATACGAATGTAAACTGGATCTGGAACACCTGAAAATATCAAAAACATTATTTGATGAAATTGAACTATTTTTGAACATATGAGACTATTGTTGAAATGAACTTCATAAAAATTTAAAAATTACAACACAAGCTTGTTCAGACTCTCTCAAGGTCTAAAGTCTAACATCCTATCTTCAACATATTTTTTACCGTGATTCTTTTTAGCAGAATAACTTTGGATTAGGAACATGGGCAATGAACTAATGCTGGCATGCTGATATATTTATGAATTGGTGTATGGCAACATGACATGCCATTCATTCCCTAGAAAAAGGTCGGATTTTTATAAGATTGTGAATGGAATCACAAATTTTTCACTGACTAGACTGAAATTGTTGGGAACTATTTACATGACGGTTGATTTTAACCACTCCTTTCAATTACATTACCAAATATCACAGTTATAAAGTTCATATATATGTTGAAGATAAAATTTTGTATCCCATTACCCCAAATTGCAATATGATTGTCGATATCCTGTACCAAATAATGGATAATATCATACAAGCCTGAATATCTCATAAAGCTATATCTGAATATCTAAGCTAACTAAAATGTGGTACTAACCAGACCCTGGCTTGGGGGTAAATCCACACCGAGCTCTTCCAGAAACTGTAGTATCAGGAATCTTAGTACCATTCTTTGTAACACACCAACATAATCCATAATTATCCATACATTGTTCTGGATTCCAGGAACCATCCATGTTACATCTGAAATAGATGACAATCGAAGTCCAAAAACTTTTATCCTTAATTGTGATATATCTAGGATAGGATATTCAAATAAGATTACAATTTCATGTCGTAATTATATTTGGTCAGTCTCCATTGTAATCTAAAAAGATTTATACCAAGGTAGTGTATTGTTGACGTTCATTTCAACCAATCACAGTGCATCATGAATAATCTGTGTCTAAATATGGACTATGAATTGTGGAATAGCAAAACCAAAAGAAGAGCGACATGACCAATGAGATTATGAGTGGCTTGTTTTGTGGCTCTACTCAAAAAGAATTCTAAAGTATGGAACAACGCGAATGCCATCTCGCTGTTTTTTAACAGTAGATCACAAAAACAAATTACTGAGAGGTGCCAAACTGACCTTGGTATTATCATAGAGGAACATTGTCCCATCATCTTATTACTCAGTTTCAGGTTGACCATTTCTAGTTCACGGAAACAGGATGAGTTAGCGTTTTCTAAAATAAAATATCAAAACAGGTGGTGAATGTAGTTTTAATGTTAAACTATTAAATCAAACTATTCTGTTAATAAAATATCAAAACAGGTGGTGAATGTAGTTTTAATGTTAAACTATTAAATCAAACTATTCTGTTAATAAAATATCAAAACAGGTGGTGAATGCAGTTTAATTGTTAAACTATTAAACTACACTATTCTGTTAATAAAATATCAAAACAGGTGGTGAAAGCAGTTTTAATGTTAAACTATTAAATCAAACTATTCTGTTAATAAAATATCAAAACAGGTGGTGAATGTAGTTTAAATGTTAAACTATTAAACTCAAACTATTCTGTTAATAAAATATCAAAACAGGTGGTGAATGTAGTTTTAATGTTAAACTATTAAACTAAACTATTCTGTTAATAAAATATCAAAACAGGTGGTGAATGCAGTTTAAATGTTAAACTATTAAACTAAACTATTCTGTTAATAAAATATCAAAACAGGTGGTGATTGAAGTTTTAATGCTAAACTATTACACATTATATTGGGAAATATACGGTACTCAGACTAGTTACTTACTAGTTGGAGTGACACAATGTCTACCACAGCCATTAGAACAACACAGAGTTCCTCCAGTACAATCAGCATCAGTTTTACATTTTACATCACAGCTAGCATACAAACTCTTTTTAACACTGGGACACTGTCCTTCTTTACAACCATCTACAATATAATATCGATATATTACTTTGGTTTGTAAAAAGCTTTTTTTTTTTTAGCTGAAAAGGGTCTCTAACAGGTGGTAAGGCAAAGTTATTCAAAGGTTTACAGAAAGATAAAAGAAATGTCAGTTCTGAAAATACTGATAAAACTTAACAGATCTCAGATGTAACATGTTCTGTTCTTTAGTTTATCTTCATGTCTATTTAACACTGTCTTTATCTATCTTACTTACATATTAAAGCATTCACAAATAAAGAAATGCACATGTCCTGCGCGAAGAGACCATGCTTACACCTGATGGTACTTCTTTTTGGAGGAGTGCACTACTATAATATTTTACTCTTGATTTTGCTATTCTTTGGACGAGAGTTTTATAAACAAAATTGTTTGCTTGTCCAGATTTTTAATATATAACACATAAAATTTCTTTTGCTCTTTTAATGAGAAAACATTACCTGCACTACAAGAATTACAACAGTCCTCTCTGGTCATGAAGTTATTATTGTTTCCAGAACAACCACCATATATAAACTCCTCGCACTGTTTGGTTTGACTGTTAAAAAACCAGCGTGGCATATAAGCCTTACATGGTCCAGTATCATTTTTCATTGAACAGATATCTTGTGGTTTATCTGAAAACAGAAAGATCAAATCAACCAGTATCATTAACATCAGAGCTCCAACCAATGCTAATGCTGCTGTCAAGGCAAAAATTGCCCTCATAGTGCACTCTGTTGCCGGTCTTCACTAACCCAATGAGGTGCAAAAGAGTAGGACTTAAGACTCCAGTCATCGTATTTCACTTGTCCAACCAGGGGCACTGATAATTACATTAACATGTATGTGAACATTTTATGAATTGTTTTTCATTGAAAAAGGTTCTGAAGAGGATAGAAGGTTGAACACAGGATTTCTATTTTCTAATTGATGCTGGATTCCAAACTTTACTACACTTCTGGACAATCTTTCCTGAATACAAAAGTCAAAGCTTTTTCAGAGTCAGCTATTCGAATCTGCACTTTTATGAGAAAAACACAGTTACAGAGATCAAGATGAATTCAAACTAGTACCAACCTGGACAACAAGCAGCATAAGCATCATTTGGAGCACTATCACAGTAATAACCATCAGGACACCGTGACCCCCCTCTACCACAGTTAAATCCTTCAAGTGCTTTCACACCTGATGAACAGGGTTTATTTTTGTGTATTAAATCTATAAAAAAAAACATATCACTATTAGAATATTATAACATTGTAAACTTATAGAAACACCAGATATCTTAGTATTATGTCTTCCAAGTTAAAAAAATAATCACAAATATTCCAAAATACTTTGAAAAAAAGGGAATCCATTAATCAAGATTACATAAATTCATAGCAATTTTAAATGAATAAATACTGACCCTCTGAAATGATGCATCTTTTAGCACAACTAGTCTCACAGCATTTATAAACTCCTGAACAATCCCCATCTTGCTGACACTGGTCTTGGCAATTCTTGGTCTGGACATACATTGGAGGTTTTCTTGGACACGATCCACTCTTTACTACAAAATTTAAAACATTTCACACCTTGAAACATGGAAAATAATGAGCTCATTCATGATAAATACAAGATGAGATTGAGTATGAAAACTCTACTGTTGTCTATCTTATTGGGATATTTTAGATTAACAACATGTTGAACTAATAATAATAATTGCAATGATATGGAGTTATATCTCCTCCTTTTTGGCACCTTATTTGGATAATAAAGACAGACCACAAAGAGTACAATGAGGCATTAGTCCATACGACTTTTGAGGGATCTTTCACTTGCACAGTTATTAGCACACAGGGCATCAGTCTTTTGTCCCAAAGACAAACCATCTTTCAAGTGCACCAATTGTTATATTGTTTCATCTGAACGACATGATGATTTAAAAGGACATCCAGTAATATAATATATTAATGACTCTATATGATTTTATAATCAATCACTTACTATTTTTCACACAATGGTTGTCACAGTCATCCAGGTTATAAAAACTATTGACTTTGTGAACATCACTGTCACATTTAGAACTGTTGTATTTGACACACTTCTGTAGACCAGAATTGAAATGATATCTTGTGGTACGACATTTTTGTTCTCTTACACCTCTATCTACTGTAATATTACATCTGTTTTCCAGAGCTGAAAAATTCCAAAGATTTTCAAGATTATGAAGAATAAAAAAAAAAGTACAAACGATTTGCACAGCAAAACAAAATCCAGACAAAATATTTACATAACATTAGTAGCAGCCAATGAAAATTATTCCTAAACACACAAAAGGCCAAACTGAAAGTTATGTTATAATAAGGAAAAATACCTGTTTGTTTGAGACAGCAATAACCATTGGTATAATAACCACCTTTAGAGGTATACACACGTCCCAAATTACACTCGTATCCATTAGGACAGACATTCTCGTTATTACATTGTATATAACTCTTCCCATTACCTAGAGGACTGCCTATTCTACACACTGTATCAGGATTATGATAGCCTGAAACACAAAAAAATTGGAGTTTTACATCTTGTTGCTCTGGATCTTAAATAGCTTATGGTTAGCGCACACAAACATTATTTTTACTCAATCTTACTCAAAATTCACATTGGTGACAAAAATCTACAAAAACTTTTGGTGTACCCATTTTATAATAAAAAATAATCTGGATTGCAAACAGGGCTTAGGTGATAGGGGTTTAAAAATAGACACCAGCTTGACTCTCAGAAGCAATGGTTGTTGCATGAGTTATCTTACCTTGAGGTAGTCCAACCCAACAAGTAACCATCTAGTAGAAGACAATCTAATTGCTATCGACTGAGCTATTCCACTGTCACAATAAAGATGGTGTTCCAAACCAGAGTTAAATGGAAGGGCTTAGAATTCCAATATTTGTACAAGCACAGTAAGTTCACTCCCTGTACAAAACTATTCTTAAAACAATACAGCTGAATTAAAATTCTTACCTGTGCATTTTGGTTCTTGATCTGGTTTAAACTCTGAATTAAAGAATTTGTGTCCTCTCTCATTGACGCAGTAACAATTTTTAGTTTTATTACTAAACAGGTACTGATCACATTGGTAGTTTCTATAGGAACCATCAGTCATGTGACATTTTGGTATGGTGAAGGTCATGTTGGTGCGACCTTGAACTTGAGGTAATTGTAAACCTCTAACGAAGGTGACTATTTCGTTGTATCCTGGTTCAACTGGTCTCCTGTGAGTTACGTTAAAAAGTATTGAAGATAGTTTCTCTCTCTGTTCACATCCAGTCATCTTTCTTCTCTCTGAAAATAAAACGAGTTGTTTTTTTTTAATTATTTTGAACTATAATGTGGCAAGAGGTAGAGTCCATGTTGAAGGTCAGAAGTTTATCTTCCAGTATTGGCAGACAATCTCTACAAACTCTGCTAGAACAGAGAATGTGGGAATAAAGGAGATATATTGTGGAATAAGTTAGCGGGAGAGCAAATATCTTTATACATTGCTATGTACCATATTGAACCTAATTACTCTTTTCTAAAAAAAATCCTTCCTTTCTTTACTTCAGCAGAGTTTGTAGACCTTTTAGTCTGTCAGTACTGGATGATGCCCTTAGAATTCATTTTTGATAAATTCATTTGATAAAGTTAGGTCTTTAACATAGTCTCTATCTCTTACACAAAATACTTCTGAACCATAGATCCACAAATATCTTATAAACAGTTGAATTAAGACCAAACACTGCTTCTACATATTATCATGGTTCTTCAATTTTTTATGTGTATTGGGGACGCTGATAGCATCAATTTGCACCATTCCTATTTTATATCAGACGTCTGTGGTTCCTGCAATTCTTTTTAAACAACCCTGTTAAGCTACTACAAATTACACATAGAAAATAAAACAGTATTTACCACTATATGGCTGTTTACAAAGTAAACCTGATCTTTCACGACATTGACAAATATTTCCATTTTCCCAATCACCAATACAACTTGCAAACTTATCTACACTCTGACAGAGATTAGCTTGGTACCGGCATATATTAGGTATTACCAAATGACCTGAAGAGAATAAAGTGGAATAACATCTCAGTACATATTTTTTATATAAGGCTATCTTAAAACAGTACCTGAAACATGTTGTTACTCAGAGTTTCAGAGAATAAAACACTGAGTAACAACATGTTTCAGGACCTATATTTTGATATTTGTATATTGCTATATAAAAATATAATTTAATGTATTTAGCATGCTTTAATAGTGAAAATATTATTTTTTTTGTATATAAAATATACATAAATTTAAATATATAAAACAGTGGAGGGAGAATGGCAAGGGGCGTTGGCTCCTCCAGAGTTTTAAAATGCCTGGTACTGAGGCCTGTTTGGAAGCTATCACAGCTCTTCAGAATCAATGCCATTCATTTGGAAGTCTTCTTACCTGATTGTTTAGGAACAGGTTGTTGACAGACATGGCCAGCACCATTGCTACAGCATTTCTCATGACCTTCACAATCAAAATCGTTTGAACACATTTCAACTGCTATACCAAATGTACCATTTTCTACAGTAGGACATATACCAGGTTTGTCTGTAAAAACAGAAATGGACATTTTACATTCTACTGAAGTAAAGACCTGTTAGGCCTAATCACTGGCAGATTAATGATGCTCATTTCTCTACTCTACAAGTAATTTCCAATAGTCAAGAGATATCTGAGATATACAGGGTATAAAAGACCACAGTATCTTACCCATTTAATAGACTGCACACACCTACCATCAAAAACAAAAAATAAGGTTGAAAAGTTGAAAAAGGTGGACACCATTTTATGATTTGATATTGAAAAAACAAAAGACAAAAAAAAGGAGCGAGGCTAATTCAGCTAATTTAGATCAAAAATAACCTTGATTGTTTTGATTTTCAAACAATGTTGGAAAGTCCAGTGGATTAATTCAGTCTTTTAGGCTATAAGGTTCAAATCCATGGAAGGTCAGAAAAATTCTGATGCCACAGCCAGTACATCCGAGAGTCTGCCAAGCATCTTCTTTCAAGCCCTATCATGTAT